TATCATATCGTTGCGACAGACTCGCGTGCGCGTCGTGATGGTCGCTTTATCGAGCGTGTTGGATTTTACAATCCTGTAGCCGCTGAAGGCACGGATGGCTTGCGCATTGATACAGCGCGCCTTGACTACTGGAAAAGTGTTGGCGCTCAAGTGTCGCCAACTGTTGCACGTTTGTCTAGTGAGTTTGCTAAGAAAAGTGCTTAATACTCTACTTAACAAGTTTATCTAGTACTCAGACTACATTTTGCAATGCTTCGAAGGTTACGTCATTTTGGCGTGACCTTTTTGTGCTACATGTTTTCGATATAATAGTGACTATGTACAAATTGATGTACATATTGCTCCTTTATTGTTTTGGAAACGCGGATTATTCGATTCTGCGGGCAAAGCACAGGAGGGTACACAGAAACCTAGACATATCATATGGATAGTCGAGAAAGGCGAATACCGCAAGGCAATGGGATTTGCCGCAAAATTGAATTTATCCGTGTTTCCTTTTTAATTATAAATAGAAATAATAAATAATGACAATAAAAACTGCTTCTCAGAACTCTTCATCTACCACGCCAGAATGGATTGAACTTGGTCATATCGTTGATGCCTTTGGCTTGGACGGCTCGGTAAAAATTCATCCGTACAACCCAAACCCAGAGGCATTATTGACTGCACGTATCTGGCATTTACAACCGAATTTGTTGTTGCCTAATGTTAAGCATGCTCAAGCATTTAAGGTTAAAGTCATTCGCAGTAAGGTTCATGGCGCTAGTGTTATTGCTAAGTTAATCGACATTGATGACCGTGACGATGCAATAGCCTTAAAGGGTTGCGTGGTTTGTATCACTAGAGATCAATTGCCGACACTCAATGGTGAAACAGATGGATATTATTGGGTCGATTTAATAGGTTGTCAGGTACGCAACCAAGAGGATGAATTGATCGGGAAGGTTGATCGACTAATCGATAATGGAGTGCAGCAGGTTTTATGTGTTAAACGCACCTTGACAGAAGGTGAGGAGTTCTCAGAATTTGAAACACTCATCCCTTTTGTCAATCAATATGTTTTGAATGTGGATATAGCTGCCAAACTGATTAAAGTTGATTGGGGGATGGACTACTAGCTATTTTCATAAAGGTGTAGTGTGATGAACAATAGATAATAGGCATAACTTAAAATGAATTTATTCTTTACTTACAATGAGTCTAAGACAAAATTAACTATTAGGCAGCCACCACTTGACCCCGAAAAAATTTGGGGAATCTTAGCGTCTGTCATCGTACTTAGTACAATCTTTTATTTTAATGACATCTCTTGTTTTCCGGTTTTGTCCATTGGTTTGCCATTGTTTATTTGGTTAACGATCAATGAGCGATATTTGTTGTCAGAGATTGATAAAGAAAGTCAATTAATTCAATATTTTCGTGGTGGTATCTTGGGGACTAACTGGTTTGCTAGTGAAGTCGAGTGCGGTTTTAATCAGGTTAAGGGGATAGCGATACAACAAGTATTTGTTAGAGCCAAGACTGGTTTTAGAGTCGTGTTTCTGATCAATGCTTTTCGTTTAGTACCAGTTACTGGAGCATTAAACTTAACACTTTGCTACGATACCATGCAAGATGTGGTGAGATTTTTACAAAATGAGATAGACCCGTTGCCTGTATCTGCTTTGGGAACATCCCCACTTGGCATATGATCATCTGATAAATCAATTTCATGATAAGAATGAATTGGTTGCCAACGAGCTCCTGCAACAATTAAAGTTGATTCAGCTAAACCATAACAAGGATATAACGTGTTAGCCTTCAAACCACATCTTGAAAATTTGCGGTAAAATCGCTCCAAAGTCGCCTCCCTCACCGCTTCGGCTCCATTACCTGCAATATCCCAACTCGACAAATCTAAAAACGCTAACTGCTCATCAGTAATACGTTCTACGCATAGATCATATGCAAAATTTGGACCACCAGTCCACGTACCACGATAACGACTTATCGTTTCCAACCAGAGGTAAGGATTTTGTAAAAAAGAAGCTGGTGCCAACAGATAACCACTTGCGCCTAAAAATAAGGGTTGCAAAATTCCACCAATCAGCCCCATATCGTGATAAAAAGGCAGCCAAGAAACGGCAATCGATTCTCGATGAGTCTCTTGAAACTTGGAAATTGTTTGTGAGTTATGAAACAAATTACCTTGGCTCACCATCACCCCTTTGGGATCGTTGGTTGAACCTGATGTGTACTGAAGAAATGCTAAATGATCAGGTGTGACCATCATTGAAATTTCTTCAATGTTCTCTGGTAGTTGATCTGTGCAAAGCCATTGAAGAGCCTGTACACGCTGAAGTGGAGCAAGATTTTTTTGTGTTTCTATCAATAACTTAGAACTTGACAAAACCGCTGTTGCATCACAATCCTCAATGATCTTCGATAAAACCACCAAATTTTGCGACCGTCTAGGTGGATGAACAGGCACAGCAACTACACCAGCGAGTAAGCAACCCAAAAAGGCGATCGTAAACTCCAACGCGTGTGCAGCTGGATACAATAATAACACCCTCTCATTGCACAAACGCCTTTCCATCAAGGC